AAATATCACACAGCGAGGAGACAACTAACAGTACTACAAGGCGTATATGATTCACAAATGTCCTGTTATCATCCGTAAACTCCAATCCACTCGACTAATAAATGCGATTTATCTTCTACTTCTTCATTCAGCTCATCATTATCCAGATTTGCCTTCTAATCTCCTCCCCTCCCCTCCACTCCCCTTCACTTCACTTCACTCCACTTCACTCCACTCTAATCCACTCCACTCCACTTAACTTCACTTAACTTAACTTCACTTCACTTAACTCCACTCTACTTGACTTCATTCCACTCCTCGCCACTTTGTTGGCATTCACTTTGATATAATCCTTTCTCACTTCTTCCTCTTTACCCCCACTCTTTTCTGAGTACCGTTCTTTTGAGTGTGCACGAAGTTGTGTGTTGGTCAGTTTATGGCAGACCCTCATCGTCTGCTTGTACGCCTTCCTACCTTCTCGCCATATACACCCTCGCGCTCTTTTTGTCCGGTCCTGTGCATTTCCTCTCTGTAGGGCTACTTTGAAGAGTCATTAGTTCTACCCTATTTTGTGTTCCTCATCCTTCCTGTTTGGAATACTTAACTATTAGCTTACTTTGCTTACAATACTACCCCTTTCCCCCTCCCTCTACCCCACATCGCTTGACACTTTCACAGCCTATGCTGTACCATTTTTGAAGTTGGTTATCCCCACTCTGCACTGTTCGCATGAACGGCAATGAAGGCCATTTTGTGCGATGAAATGAGTGTGATGAGTGGACGCACAAGTTGGGCTTGCTCAAGACTATCTTTATGATCATATATATGAGATGTATGTTTGTGATCCACCTGTTCACCCAATGCTATGTGTGTGCTGGCATCACTCGCCACATACTTGGCTATTCCATAGTCTTTGGCCACTTGCACTAAAACGCCCCTTTCACATGCACTTTTGGCTACCACATCGCCACAAGGATCCTTTTGGCAAGACTTCAATTGGGCTCGAAGTCAACACCAAACTTTTGAAGTAGCATCACTAAGATTTAGTATTCCAGAAGCCAAGAGCCGCACAACGGCTCTTCTGGCTACTTCATGAGAATTTATATAAAAAACACCAGCCACATACACAACATATGCCAAAGTTTTAGTTTGACACTTGCTGAAAAGCTGTCAGTCATGTCTGGCAATCTGCTTCACATGGAAGGAATCTCCACCAGAAAGCACGGGTGTACTTATTTTGGTAGACTTGCCAGAAGGACACTTCCGGTTCAACTTCCTCTACTCCAGACAGGACCGATGTCTGGACCTGTGCCCACTCAGGCTGGCCGATTCGCATCAGCGAACCCTCTTTGGCAAAAAAATGGGAGAGCTGAAGCTTTCATCACAACCTTTGCTCATCTATTGCGAAAAAAAGATTCCGAAGAGACCCGAAGACTTCTGACTGCTTTAACAATAGAAGCAAATTGTATTTTGGCTAAAGTACCAACATAGATCTGCGGTATTATTTTTTTTGTTTTAATAAATACCAACACTAAACTTACTAAAACACTGTCTATGATACTTTCTATGATTTTTTCCAGCCTCGAA